TACTAATTCTGACTTTGTCTTTCTTTCAGAAGGAAACAACACTCCATATTTCAGAGTTCCCTTAATATATCTCAGAATTCTGACAGCAGCTTAGAAATGAGACCACTTGGGATTACTCATGAATCTGCTGACCAATCCAACTGCATAACAAATGTCAGGTCTAGTATTACATAAATACCTTAGAGAGCCAACCAGCTGTTTGAAGGTTGTAGAATCACCATCATGAGTCAGAATTCAATTTTTGATTGGTTTCTGATGGTGTCATAGCAACTTTGCAGTTCTGCAGCTTAAATCTCTTCAGAAGTTCTTGTTCATAATTTAATTGGTGCAGAATGATACCCTTCTTCGAGTACATAATCTCTATTCCTAGGAAATATGTCATTTTTCCTAGATCTGTCATCTCGAACTCATTCATCAGAACTTCCTTGAACTTCTTTATATCTTCTGGGCAGCTACCTGTTAGCAAGATGTCATCAACATAGAGACACACCAGAATCATATTGCTATCAGAGTGTTGTACATAAACTCCATATTCTATCTCACACTTCTGAAACCTCTGCTTCTTGAAAAATGAATCAATTTTCAGATTCCAAGCTCTAGGCGCCTGCTTCAGTCCATACAGAGCCTTATTTAACCTGTATACCATCCCTTCCTGATTCTTTTTCACAAATCCAGGAGGTTGTGACACGTAAACTTCTTCCTGTAATGGACCGTTCAGAAATGCTGACTTCACATCCAGGTGCATTAAAGGCCAATTTCTGTTTGCAGCTAAAGTAATCACCAGTCTGATTGTTTCATGCCTAGCTACAGGTGCAAACACCTCAAAATAATCTAGCCCAGGTTTCTGAAGAAAACCTCTAGCTACTAGTCTAGCTTTGTGCTTGCCAATGGAACCATCTGGCTTAAGTTTCAACTTAAAAACCCATCTGACGCTGATGGCTTTTTTCTTATCTGGAAGTTTAGTCAATTTCCAAGTTTTGTTCCTTTCTATTGCCTCAGGTTCTTCTTTCATGGCATTAAGCCATTCTTTCTTCTTGAGAGCTTCTTCAATGCCCACTGGTTCAGAATCTACTAACATGGCACACTGAACGACTTCTCCTTCAGAGTCAACATCATTATCCTGCAGCATGTCAAAATCTGTAAACCTTCTGGGTTTTTGTCTGATTCTCTGTGGTCTTTGAGCTTGTTCTGAAGCTGCACCAGAACTACTACTTTCAGAGTTACCACCTTCAGAGTTTTCCCTTCCAGAACTATGATTACCACCAGATTCTGGATCATCATCAGTATCTGGATCATCTTCTTCAAACTCATCTTCAGAATCTTCAGGATCTTCAGAATCAAATTCATCTTCTGATCTTTCTAAAACATCTTCAGGGGATAACTCTGGTGTTGGCACTACACCAGAATCAGATTGAGATTTGGTCCAATCCCATGCTTCAGACTCTTTCACCACAACGTCTCTGCTGACTTCAACTTTATTAGTTTCTGGATAATAAAGCTTATACGCACCTGTACTGTGGTACCCCACCAGCAACATTATTTTGCTTCTATCATCCAGTTTTTGTCTTCTAGCTTCTGGAACGTGTTTGTAACAGACAGATACAAACACCTTCAGATGACTGACACTCTACTTATCTCCAGTCCATTTCTCTAAAGGAACAGCTTCCTTCAGTTTCTTCGTTGGACACCTGTTCAGAATATATGCTGATGTGGCAACAACTTCTCCCCTTAGCACGTGAGGTAGCTTTTTCTCTTTCAGCATGCTTCTGGTCATATCAAGCAGAGTTCTGTTTCTTCTTTCAGCAAGACCGTTGTGCTGAGGAGAATATGGAGCAGTAACCTCATGTTCTATTCCACTTTCCTCACAAAACTTCTGAAACACTGTAGAGTTATACTCACCTCCACCATTTGTTCTTAGAATTTTTAACTTATGACCACTCTGCTTCTCAGCCTTCACCTTGAATTTCTGGAACTCATTAAACACTTCATGCTTGAACTTGATAAGTGTTACCCATGTCATTCTTGTGAACTCATCCACAAAAGACATAATGTAATTGTTCCCTCCAAGTGAAGGTACTGGAAATGGTCCACACACATCAGAATGTACTACTCCTAGAGCATGTTTCGCTCTGGGGGCTACTTCTGATGTAAATGGCAGTCTAGGTTGCTTAGCTTTCATGCATATCTCACATGACTTCTCAGGCTTCACAATTTTCGAAATACCACGCACGAGCTTCTTAGAACATAGATGCCCTAAGCTTCTATAGTTTAACTGCCCTAACCTCTTATGCCACAGCTTAATGTTACTTTCATCACCTTCTGCACTAAGGCACGTTGCTTCAGCTGTTTCTACATTCACCTTGAATGTTCTGTTGCCTCCTTGTTCAGATTTCATAATTAACTTCTGATTGGAATCATACAACGTCAGAAGATTGTTTTTTATAACAACTGAAAAACCTTTCTCAATCAGCTGACCTACGCTCATCAGATTGCTTTTAATACCAGGAACATACCAGACGTCTTTGATCAGAATGTCTTTCCCATTCTTCACTCTAATTCTGACATCTCCCATACCTTCTTCATTAAGACACTTATCGTCAGCACATCTGATCTTTGTACTCCTTCTGGAGTCAAAGTCTCTCAGCCATTGTTTGTTTCAAGTTAAATGATTTGAGCAGCCAGTGTCCATATACCACCAATCTTCTGAGCATTTTCCATCAGAGTCAGAGGCCATTAGCAGTACAGGTTCATCATCAGAGTTTCTCTTAGCCATATATGCTTCTTCTGTTTTCCTATCCCTGTTTGAACTACAATCTCTGGCAAAATGGCCCAATTGTTTACAGGAGTAACATTGAACCTTCCTTTTGTCATACCTCTCTTTTCCTTTATGATACTTCTTATCATCAGAAGTTGAGGCTTCTGACTTCTGGAATCTATCACCACGTCTATTCTGCTTCTGGTCTTTCTTGACAAAAGAAGCCTTCAGAGCTTGCTCAGCTTCTCTCTCATAAATTCTCTCAGACAGACGTAACTCCTGTGCTTCTAAGCTGCTTTGTAAAACTTCTATTTTCATGGTTTCCAGATTTTTAGAATGTTCAATAAAAACAACAATGTAATCAAACTGAGGAGTGAGTGACCTCAGAATCTTCTCTATGATTACTTGTTCAGTCAGAGTTTCTCCACACGCCTTCATCTCATTAGTGATCAGAATCACTCTGGAGATATATTCAGAAACTTTCTCACTGCTCTTCATGTTCAGGTTCTCATATTGCTTTCGTAGGGATTGAAGCTTCACCTTCTTTACTGATGTGTCACCACCGTAACATCTCGTCAGTAAATCCCACGCCCCTTTAGATGTTATTGAATCAACAATCTTCTCGAACACATTTTCATCCACACACTGATGGATATAGAATAGAGCTTTCTGGTCCCTCTTTCTCATCAACCTCTCAGCAGTTCTCTATTCTTCAGTTGCATCTGCTGCAGCTGGTACATAACCATCTGTAACCAGATCCAGAACATCTTGTGCATCGAACAGTACACGCATTTGTATCATCCATCTGTTCCAGTTTTTGCCATTAAAAACTGGAAGTTTAGTGTTCAAACTACCGTCTCCACTCATTTTAAACCTTGCACGAATTTTCAGATCTTAAACACACTGTTTCCCAACCCACAAAATCAAAATTTTGTTCAAAATTTTGTTCAAGATTTCAACAGAAAATCAAAGAACAAAACTCAAACACACAGCTCACAACCGCTCGTGTTTCCCAGGAAAAACAGAACCAAAAGCTCTAGATACCAATTTGTTGGTGCAAGGTAATGGAAGGAGAGATAAAGAATGAATAATGAATGATAACAAAGAGGACTACTTCTTAATATTCAAATAGAGGAATGAATTTTTGGGATACAATATTGAAAGCCTAGGTAGCATATTTATACTAGAAATTGAATATGCCAAAAGGCCCTAATAAAGAGTAAGTATTGGGAATTGTGGACATTAAATAAATTACATTTCCAATAGAACCCTTTATATTTTAACTCCTCGGTTAGAGGTCAACCAGTACTCATCGGTATTGAACAATCGGGAGCATCGCAATCTCAACGATATTGTTTCCGCTGGCGATCACAGTCACACAAAATTAAGTTGCATTCAACATGGGAAGAATAATCAATTTTAGTAAGATTATAAGACAAATGAAATGAGGTTTGGCATTAAAGTATTTGTAAGTATCATTACCATTAATCAACCACAATCCAAAATGATTTTCAGTGTTGTCAGGAGTAGAATATTTTTCACCACTCAATCCGTTGGAGCATGTTACAATAATCATTTCAAGCAGGTTGCTCTCGGCCAATCTTTGCATGACAACAATAAAATTAGGATACACGTGTTCTTCCAACGATCTCTAGTGTTGACATTGGCGCTGAAATCACAGATGATTTAAAGAGACAATATGCTTCCTTTTCCAAAGGATAATGAAAGAGTTTTCTAACTTTCATTGTGCTAGAAGTCATCGACGTTACTCCAGTTCCCTTCATTCGAACAAACATTCAACAATATACACAAACAAAACTATAAAATAGTAACAATCAGAATCGTAAAAAAAACTAAATTGAATTAAGAAAATTAAAAGTACGCGAAACGGTTGAAATTGATTGCGTGATATGATGAAAAATAGAAGAATGGATTCAGAAAATGTTGACCTGAAATTTGATTCTGGGTTGGTGAAAATGCTGACCTAAAATTTCAAACACATAAAACTGTTGAACTTAAAACCATAAACTACAAAAACCAAATTCTACATAACAACACTTACATCAAGAGTAGTTAGGGAAATTTTCAGTTATCTCACAATACAATCAAGAGAATTTTCATCTTTGACACCAAATATAAAGATCATCTTCTTATTAATAAGATATGCATGAATCTTAATAACCTACAACACACATTCAAATCTCCAAAATAAAATTAAAATATAAACAATCACACAAAAAGTAGTTTAAAAAAATCTTTCAATATCTCCGGCTTTGTAAAACCATTGAGCAGTAAAAAATAGATCTTTGTCTTCAGATTCGAAGAACTCGACAATCCTTGCAATATAATCAGGTTGATCATCTTTAGCCTAAAACAATAAAGTTTGGAAAATCAACACTGTAAGAAAACCCCCAATCAACAAAACATATAAACACTAAAACCCTAAATCTTCAATATTGAATAACATTGGATGTACCTTGAGGAAAATAATGATGTTGGTGGCAAAATGTGTACGATGGAACCGAGCCGGTGGATAAAGGAGGAACAATGAACACATTTTTTGGCGAAATGGAGATCTAAGCATATGAGAAAAACATATTTGTTGAAGAAAATAAGAGAGAAGAAAGAATAAGAAGAAGAAGAAGAAGAAGAAGAAGAAGAAGAGAGAGACAACAAAAGAGAGAAGAAAGAAGAGGAAGTGATAGGTAGTGTTAAAGAAAAGGAAAGAGAAGAAAGAAGAAGAAGAAGAAGAAGAAGAAGAAGAAGAAGAGAGAAGCACCAGAAGAGAGAAGAAAGAAGAAGAAAGAAGAAGAAGAATAAGAAAAGAGAGAGAGAGAGAGAGAGAGAGAGAGAGAGAGAGAGAGAGAGAGAGAGAGAGAGAGAGAGAGAGAGAGAGAGAGAGAGAGAGAGAGAGAGAGAGAGAGAGAGGCAACAAAAGAGAGAAGAAAGAAAAAGAAGAGAGAGGCGGTGAAAGAGAGAAGAAAAGAAGAGGTAGAGGATGAAAGGGTAATGTGAAACCGTCATCCTCTTCATGTTGGTAACCGTCGTACATAAGGTAGAGAAAAAATAGAAATCGATAGTGGTATGGAATAAAAAAATGTATGAAACAACAAATATTATTCAATTATTCAATTGGATTTTTTTCAATAAAACAAAAGGTGAGAACTGAGGCCAACCACGTGGCAGCGTATGGAAAGAGAAGGGCACTTTTGTATTTAGAATAATAACCTTTCTTATATGATAGATATGTTTGATTTGCAAGGGGAGGGGAAAGATTTTATTAATAATTTACACTTGTATGCTTATGATCTTATATAAATGATATTATATAAATTATATGATATTTAAAGGTGAAATTTTTTTTAAAAAAATTAACAATAAATTTTGTGATATTGAGTTATTAAAAAAATTATAACTTACCACATAACGTTAAAAAAATAAATGATTTAAATTTGATTATATATATATATATATATATATATATATATATATATATATATATATATATATATATATATATATATATATATATATATATATATATATATATATATATATATATATATATATATATATATATATATATATATATATATATATATATATATATATATATATATATATATATATATATATATATATATATATATATATATATATATATAAACAAAAAAAATGAATGATTTAAAATTTGATATAAAAAATATAATAGAATACAATTTTTTTTTTACATAAACAAACCTAATAATAAAGTGTATTGAAGAAAACAAAAAAAATTATCGTAATTATAATTTATATTAAATATAAAAATAAAAAATAATTTGAATGTGAATAATAATTATAATAAGTTGATGAAAATAATAGAGAAAAATCACACAAAAAAGAAGGATGATCACGAAAGGAAATAATAATTTTAAAATACTAAAATAAAATTGAGGATATTTTAGTAAATATAATAATCTATAAAATCTTAAGACTTATATTGCCCTTTTGGTGATCTGATCAAATTTCTTGTGGAATTGTGATCCAAACTTGATCAAATGGTTCATATGAGTTCATAATGTTGATGTGAATCAAATTTCATGAGGTTTGACTGTCAATTGGCCACAATTGACTTTTTCCCCAATACAGCTGATTTCTAGGTCAACTGTCCAATTGACTGGGCAAAAATTTGAATCAAGGCTTGAAACTTGGTATGGAAAAACTTATGAGTCCAACATGAAATATGAAAGTCAATTTGGGCATTGTAGGTTAAAACATCCCTGTGCAAACTCAAACCCTAATTTGGGTCAACAGTGCAATGAGGTGTCTTGAGCAGAGCAAACCCTAGCCTGATCTTGAATTCCAAGAGTCTTGTGATGAGAAATGTTGATGAAATGAGAGGGAAAATTTTGGGGTACAACAGTTGACCCTGTTCAATCTTCTTGAACCTAAAGAGTTAGATTGGCAAGTTTGCCTTTCGCGACTCGAAGGTAAAAGAGGATTGGACACTAGAGTGCCCGTAAATTTGCACTCGTCAGAATATAGCTGAGGAAATGGGCTTAAAGATGCCATTTAGAGATGGTAGAATCTTGCTGGAGATGGGCTTAAAGATGCCATCCAAGAATGTTTGTTGAATTGCAATGTGGTAGGTCAGAAGAATGAGTATTAAAATGGTATCCGTGTCTGGAATGCATTTGAACTGTATCTGGAGACTGAGTATGTATGAGCGGAAGAATGGCGCCCGTGTCTGGAGCATATCTGAGCTGTAACTGTATTTGAACTTTGAATGAATATCAGAATGACTGCCATGTCTGGAGTGTATCTGTATTGTATCTTAATTCTGAATGGGATACAGAGAAACATCTGTGTATGGAGCATCTTTGGGCTGGGGATAACTTCCGAATGAGTGATAGAATGGCAACCGTGTCTGGAGCGTATTTGGACTGTATCTGAAGTTGAGATCTGTATGAGTAGCAGAATGACTTCCGTGTCTGGAGTGTATCCGAGACTGTAACTGAGATCTGAATAAGTGATAGAATGACTTCCATGGCGATTGCACTGGGGAGAATCAAACTGCTGGTGTAAGGGCCAAAATGGCATCCGTGTCTGGAGCGTATATGAACTTGTGGTTGATAGTTAAATCTGAGAGATAGAATGACTGTCATGTCTAGAGCGTATCTAGTCTGTATCGGATTGCTGAAGTCTGAATGAGTAGTAGAATGACCGCCATGTCTGGGGTGTATCTGTATTGTATTTTGACTTGAAATTGTGAATAAGTAATAGAATGACCGCCGTGTCTGGGGTGTATCCATACTGTATCTGAATAATTGTTATCAACAGCCTTTTAATCTTATCCTGAAAAGGGTAAAATGTTAGCTAAAACACAAAGTTATGTTGCATAATATGTATGATGCAATGAATTGTGTTTCATCAATGTTTGTGATATATGAATGTAATGGATGTGCATGTAAGCTGAGTAGTTGTCTCGCCGAGGAAAATAAATCCTTGATAACTGGAGATAAAGAAATCTTTGACTGCTGTCGGGGAAAGTAAATCCTTGACCGATGCTGGGGATTCCAAAAAACTTTGATTATTGAAGATGAGAAATCCTCGCTGACTGCTGACTACTTGGGGATTAAAGATCTGTGATTGCTGAGAAGGAGAAATCCTAGGACCACTGCTGGAGATAGAAAATCCTCGGCGATCTGTGGGGATTAACTAGGCCTTTGACAACTTCTGCAGGGAATGAGAATCCTTCATGACTTTCCTGGGATGATAGGGAGAATTCTGAAAATCTCTATTAGGGAGTTAAAACCTAGGAGGCTTCTGCTTGGAGAAATGAGACCTGGAATCTTCAATCTTTTGGAAGATAACTCTGTGGGGAGAATGTTCACTATTCTGGCTCCGCTAGGGATAGGATTTTCAGGGTTTTCGGGCTCCACTGGGGATCTTGAAGCTTAACTCTGATGGGAATTCTGAAACCTAACTCATATGGGGAATCAAGTTTTAGAATGCACTGGCTCTGCTGAGGATCTTGAAGCTTAACTCCGCTGGGGAAATATACTCCAAATTTTAGCTTTGTTGAGGATCTGAATGATGTATCGTAGGGGATTTCTTCTGAAATGGCACAAAGATATCTTCCTACACCTTCAACCTATCAGTAATTATCCTTTTTCAATTTCGTTTTATTTGTAAGCAGTGATTATACTCAAATGCATATGCCTATTTAACAAAACAGTGGACGTTTAAAAATAAAACACAAGTGTAAAAAGAAAATAAAGGCAAGCAAATTTATGCACTTTGAAGTATCTTTATATTTAACTTTCGTGAGTATCTTTGTACAAAGGAGACAGACATCCTAGTAAGAGAATGTTGTCATAAAAATTTAAAAAATTTATACAAAAGAAAGATGGCTATGTGTAACAATTCCATGGGATTCCCATTCTGCTATAGCCTTCACAACTCTGAATATCTTATCCATTCGCTGCTTCGTCCGCCGATGACTAGATTGATCAGAAGCTCAGAGCTTGTTGGTGAAGAGATTGTTCTTAAAGTGATCCGACGAGACATAGTCATACGCTTTAATTCCCTAACTTTTGCCTGGACCGCCCTTTCGGGTTTTCGATCCACCGGGAAACCCTTTTTTGCCCAAGTCGCCCTTTCGGGTTTTCAACTTGCCGGGTGTACAGATTTTTTTTGTTTTATCCCTAATTTTTGCCTGAACCGCCCTTTCGGGTTTTCGATTCACCGAGATACCCATTTTTGCCCAAGTCGCCCTTTCGGGTTTTCAACTTGCCGGGTCGTTTTATGTGTAGTATCTTTTGACTATGTCTGCGTTCGCAGGGTGCGGCAAATCGTCACCGTCCATGGTGGTCAGAATCATTGCCCCACCAGAAAAGATGCTTTTGATCACAAATGGTCCTTCGTAAGTAGGAGTCCAGTTGCCCCTGCGATCACTTTGCGGTAAGATGATCCGCTTGATTACAAGATCTCCGACTTGATATACTTGACGTCTAACTTTCTTGTTGAAAGCCTTGATCATCCATTTTTGATACGTATGACCATGACAAACAACAGTAAGTCGCTTCTCGTCGATCAAGTTAAGTTGATCAAGCCGGGTCTGAATCCAATCGTCTTCAGTTAAACCAGCGTCCTTCATAATCCTTAAGGAAGGAATCTGAACTTCCATGGGTAGAACAACTTCCATGCCATACACCAAAGAAAATGGGGTTGCCCCTGTTGAAGTACGTGCCGTGGTACGATATCCATGCAGAGCAAACGGTAACATCTCATGCCAGTCCTTGTAGGTGACTGTCATCTTTTGAATGATCTTCTTGATATTTTTGTTCGCGGCTTCAACATCACCGTTCATTTTCGGCCGATAGGGAGATGAATTGTGATGATAAATCTTGAACTGTTCGCATAGAGCGGTGATCATGGTGTTGTTCAAATTCGTACCGTTGTCCTTGGTGATCCTATCAGGGACACCATACCGGCATATGAGGTTTTGCTTGATAAAGCGGGCAACCACATTCTTTGTAATAGAGGCATAGGAAGCTGCCTCGACCCACTTGG